CAAGAGACTTCTTCACCAGGCTGGCGGATCAGGTCCGGCAAAGGAAGCAAGGCTTCAGCGAGTCGTTCAAGGACTACATGATCGACATGCAGACGATGGTGAGGCCACTTAACTATTCTACGAAAGAGACGTTAAGGGTCATTAAAGAGAACTGCACCCCAAGCCTACGAATGTTCTTAAGAGCATACAAAGTGTCGGACCTGGTCACGCTAATGATCCTAGCCGATGAGTACGAAGAACTTGAAAAGGAACGGGAAGTCTTCGCACAGGAGAACAAGTTCTCAAAGACAAAGTCGGCGTCACCAACACAGGTGACATGCAGGAGATGCGAGGAGGTAGATAACCAGGACACACGAGGAAACGACCAATGGACACCACCACACCAAGCCAGACGACAGCAGGCAACAGACGCACCACGCGGAGGCCATTGGGCACCACCCCCACAGCAACAGAGACAGCCAAACAATACCTTGTGGAGGCCGCCAAGCAACACACAGAGGCCACAAGAGGCCACCCATATCACAGACCCGCAGGAGGCCTGTCGGAAATGCGGTGGGAACGGACACTGGGCTAGAGGATGTCGAAACCAGAGGCCGCTGTTTTGCTGGATATGCGGCAAGGTGGGTCTCAGGAGCGTCGATTGCTGCCAACGATCGGGAAATGGCCAGCGATCTCAGCCGCAGAGAGGCGAGCGGAGATCGCACAAAGCCACCTCTCCAAACTAACGGGCAAGCTAATCGAGGAGGAGCAGCAGTTGTCCGCAGCTGTGATGATTGGTGGGAACAGCTACAAAGCCACAATCGGCATCGGAGCAACGGCAAGCTTCGTGAGCGAAGAATTGGCGGACAATATTGCTGCTCTAGGAAAGATTACAAAGACGAGACGGCAAGTTAGGTTGGCAGATGGAAGGTGCGGCGGAATTGATGCGCAGCTCGAGGTGGAGGTCAAATTCGGCAACAAACAAGTGACCATGCGCCTGTTGATTTTACCCGGAGTAGTGGATCCATTAGTGTTGGGATGGAACTTCCTGAAACAAGTCGGAACCGAGATAAGGTGTGCTGGACACGAGATAATAATACCAGACAGGAACCGACACAATGGATGGCTTGAGGAGAAGCTATCAGTAGCAGTCGTTCAACAAGTAAACGAGTTGGACGATACTACAGCGTTCCTTGAAGAGGAGCTGGCAGACTTCAGCACAATGTCGGGAACATCGAATATGGCAGAACACCAGATCAAAATGAAGGACGACAAGGCAATCGCAGAGATACTACCCAAAGAACCCAAAAATTCAAGGGGAAATCAACGCAAAGGTGGACGAGCTTCTCCAAATGGGGTTCATAGAGCATTCAAAGAGCCCATACAGCTCCCCCATCGTGATGATGAAAAAGAAGACAGGCAAGTGGAGACTGTGTGTACCTACTCAATGCCTCGCATAAACTACATCCTGGACCAACTAAGGGAAGCGCGGTACATAAGCAGTTTGGACCTGAAGGACGGATACTGGCAGATCCCACTGGAAGAGAGTAGCAGGCAATATACTGCGTTTACGGTACCAGGCAAAGGTCTGTTTCAGTGGAGGGTAATGCCGTTCGGACTTCACTCGGCGTCGGCAACGTTTCAGCGAGTCTTGGACCAAGTAATTGGCCCCGAGATGTCACCTCACGCATTCGCTTACCAGGATGACATAATAGTGATCGGTCGCACGCTGGAAGAACATAAAAGAAACCTGAGGGAAGTGTTACGGCGTCTAAAGGAGGCAAACCTGAGGCTGAATCCAGAAAAATGCCAATTTTTCAAAAAGGAGCTGCTATACCTGGGACATCGAGTGACTAGCGAAGGAATAGGAACAGATCCAGAAAAAGTAGCCGCCATCGCCGATCTAGAACCGCCATCGTCTGTCAAAGAGCTCCGGCAGTACCTAGGAGTAGCGTCGTGGTACCGCCGATTTGTACCAGATTTTTCCAGAATCGTCAAACCCCTGAACGACCTGCTGCGCAAAGGCAGTAAGTGGGAGTGGACACCAGAGCACCAGATGGCGTTTGAGGAGGTTAAGGCAAGACTCGTGGCAGATCCAGTGCAAGCATGCCCGGACTTCAGTAGAACTTTCATCCTGCAAACAGACGCCAGCGACTACGGCATCGGAGCGATACTGGCCCAGGACACCGAAAAGGGCGAAAGAGTAATCTCCTACACAAGCCGAACACTGAACGGCGCGGAAAAGAACTACTCGACAACGGAGAAGGAGTGTTTGGCGATCGTCTGGGCGATCCGGAAGCTCCGGCCATATCTGAAAGGTTACCACTTTAAGGTAGTAACCGACCACATGGCCCTGAAGTGGCTCAACAGCATAGAAAGCCCTTCAGGAAGGATCGCCAGATGGGCCCTGGAGCTACAACAGTACGACTTTGAGATAGCGTACAGAAAGGGTCAGCTAAACGTGGTGGCCGACGCATTATCAAGACAACCACTACCGGAAACGCTACGAGGTTTAAAAGAGGCATCGGCAACTACAGCTTCAGGAGGGTGCAGCTGGATCAAGGACATGGGCGAAAAGATAAGGACCCAACCGCAGAAGTACCCGGACTATGTTATGGATGGTGAGTCACTGTACAGAAACATACCTCACCGAGCAGGCAGTGAAGACGTCGCGTCATGGAAGATGTGCGTCCCAAAGTCGCTACGAGAAGCAGTGTTGAGGGAGAACCACGACGCTCCGTCTGCGGGACACGTTTGAAGCCGGAGGACAATTGCACGGTTGGCAGCCCGATACTACTGGCCAGGCATGCATAGAGACGCCCGAGCCCACGTACGAAAATGCGAGATTTGCATGCGGTTTAAGCCCAATCAGATGCAGGCAGCCGGGAAGATGTTGACCCAAGTGCCGGAGGAACCATGGCCACGGTATGTGCAGACTTCGTTGGACCCCTACCAAGATCTAAGCACGGGAACCAAATGCTGCTGGTCATGATAGACAGGTTTTCGAAATGGACGGAACTGGTGCCCCTACGCAGTGCGACGGCAGAGTCGCTCAAGAAGGCGTTTAGGGAGCGCATAATCGCAAGGTACGGGGTCCCGAAGGTGGTCATAACGGACAATGGAGTACAGTTTGCAAGCCGCATCTTTAAAAATTTCCTGGCTGAGATGGGTATCAGTCAACAATTCACCGCGCCATACACACCACAAGAGAATCTGACCGAACGAGCAAACAGAACGGTCAAGACCATGATTGCGCAATTCGCAGGGCAGGACCAGAGAAACTGGGACGAGAAGTGGCCGGAGATTATGCTAGCAGTGAACACGAGCACATCGGAATCCACCGGCCATACACCGACGTTTCTTACCCAGGGAAGGGAACCACGTCTACCCAGCAGCCTATATGATAAGGAAACCCTAGGCACTGGACGAGCTACGGAGACCCCTGAGGAAAATGGTATTTGAGATCGTGCGGCGAAATATGGAAAAGGCGTCCCAGGACCAAGCCAGACACTTCAATCTGAGAAGGAGACAATGGTCACCAGCGGTGGGCGACATAGTGTGGGCCAAGGAACATCACCTGTCCAAAGCGGCAGAAGGATTCGCTGCAAAAAAAAAAAAAAAAAAAAAGACCGTTCACGTTGGCGAGCTCAAACAACAATTAAACGAGCAGACAGCAGAAACGTCAGATGTCTAACAACAGGTACGAGGCGACAGGATTTGGCGTCAGGCCGAAGCGAGAGTCATCCATATGCCACACGGAAAGGACAATCAGGATAGCACAAGGACATGGATAAGGATTTTTCGTTAATCCAGACTGCGAGGCCAAAGGATTATGCGTCAGGCCGAAGCGAGAGTCATCCAAACGCCACGCAGAAAGATCAACCATAAATAGAGGTCATACGGGTAACATATAGGGATCCAACCGCAGGGCAGTAGGATTCAGCGTCGGGCAGTGGCCAGAGTCATCCGCGATCACGCCAGGCGGAAGGGACACTTACAAAACGGAACAAGGATACGGGTAACATATAGGGATCCAACCGCAGGGCAGCAGGATTCAGCGTCGGGCAGTTGCCAGAGTCATCCGCGATCACGCCGCAAGTGTCTCTTCCACTTACAAAACGGCACAAGGATACGGATAACATATAGGGATACAACCGCAAGGCAGCAGGATTCAGCGTCGGGCAGTGGCCAGAGTCATCCGCAATTACGCCAGGCGGAAGGGACATTTACAAAACATCACAAGGATACGGGTAACATATAGTGAGCCGCCCGCAATGGCAACAGTATTCAGCGCCGGGCAGTTGCCAGAGTCATCCGTGGTTAGGCCAGGCGGGAAGGACACGGACAAGGTCGACAACAACAGTAGCGAAAGCATATCACGTCAACAAGGATACCCTAACAATACCCTAAGTGCACACAAAGGACACCCGAAAGATACCCTAGGGATAGCCCAACGATACCCCAAGGATACCCAAGGATACCCCAATAGTACCCAAAGGACACCCGAAGGATACCCTAGGGATACCCCAAGGATACCCAAGGATACCCAAGGATACCCCAATAGTACCCAAAGGACACCCGAAGGATACCCTAGGGACAGCCCAATGATACCCCAAGGATACCCAAGGATACCCCAATAGTACTCAAAAGACACCTCAAGGATACCCTAATAATGCCCCAAGGATACCAAGGATACCAACCAGGAAAGCCCCGAAGCAAGGTGTAGGCCCAAGGACAACTTCCAAGGATACTCACCAAGGGTGATCAAGGTAGGGTCTCAAGTAAGTTGGTTACGGAACCGGGAGCTACAACGAACCGCAGCATCCAGAGTGCCACGGCGATCTGAGGGAGTACAACTTGTGGTTTACGAAGAAAGAGGGAAGACGGTACAGCAAAGAGAGCTGTACCGTAAGAGAGCGAGCGCCCCAAGGAAAGGACATAACGGTATCGGGCAAAAGGAAGGCGCGCAACCGAGGTTTCATGTATGGGGAGCCTGGCGACGGTCGAGCACTAAAATTCAGAACACCGACATGAGCACACGCGTCACCAGAGCCGAAGCACGCAGGAGGATGGCGGCCCTCCAGGAACCTCGCCCGGGGCAAGGATGGTCGGAGACCCGGCCTACCCGAGCTCCGCGGCGGGCCCTGGAGCGGACCCGAGACGAGGACTCCGCACCGGAACCCGCGGTGAGCTCCGACAGCGACGTGGAGGTGATCGGCGATCCCGCCGTCGAGGAGAAAGAGTGGCGACTCCGGAAGGCGGCGGCGGGCGGTCGGATACCGCGCGGGACGACGGACGTCGGAGGAGCAGAACTCCCGAGGAGCCACTCGGAGGAGGTCTGTCGGGCCACCGAGGAGACTCGGAAGCGGTTCCGAGACCGGGAGCCGTCGGACGAGGAGCAGCAACGGTCGACGGAGGAGGAGGCGCGGAGGCAGACGCGGCGGCGGCAGGACCACGAGGCGGCGGCGGCGCGGTGGCATGCCCGCTTGCGAGTGGCGGAGGAAGAGGAGCGACGGATTCGTGGGAGGTGCCACTCACCACTCACGCGGCCGAGGAGCCCAGCCCGAGGAGCGAGGATGGGGACGAGCCATGCGCGCCATCCCCTCCGCGGTGGTTGCCCGAGATACCACCCACTCCCCGCTACAAGGGGGAGTGGCTCACAGACGACGCTCGAAACGGCGACGGAGGAGCACCGTTGGCCACGCCGCCGTGGAGGCCGGCCCGGCCACCCACGCCGCGATACGCGGAGCCACGACGACCGGAGGAGTAGACGCCAAGCGAGGAGTCGACCGCGCAGCCGATGCCGCAACCGCAGGAGGAGGAAGTCCACCAGGCAAGGGCGGAGGAGCCGTCGGTGGTGCGGACGGAGGTGCCGGCCGCTCACGTGAGCCACAGCACACGGGCGTTCGAGGCCGAGGGCATGCGGTGGCGGCAGCAGACGGTGACATGGACGTGGCCCGAGGGGCCCGCGACAGGACCGACGAAGGAGGTGCCCAGGATATGGGAGGAGGGGGTACCCAAGTTGAACCCTCGGGACCCCCGGACGAGAAGCCGACAGGATGCGTGGGTTCCGCCGACACCAAGCACGGGCCCGCCAACACCGGCGACGACGGCAGCGACGGGGGAGTCGGAGTCGCTGGAGAAGGGACCGTGGGTGTGGCCCGAGCCACCGGCCATCCAAAGACCGACGTTGCAGCGTCAAGTTTCGAACCCCGGATCGACGCGCCCGCGGCCGCAGTTCATGCGGCAAGTTTCGGCCCCGGAAGAAGGCGGTTGGCGCAAGGTCGCCAGGAGCGAGTGGCCGGTGGGAATTGAGGAGGCACCCGCGGTCGCGACGGCACGGCGGAAGGGCGGTAGGCGGTGCGTCCTGGTCTGCGAAGGCGGGAGGAGGTACCGGGTGAGGCTCGGAGTCGCGGGCATCCGGGTTTTCACGCAATAAATAAACGAAAAAAAAAATCACAAAAAAACAACACAAGGGTTTTCCCAAGCAAAAAGAGAAGGGGTACTGGGACAAGAGTTTGATTGAAGGTGGCTGGAAGAAGAACGGGGCATGCATGGGCCACTCCAGCAACCTGTAAGTCAAATGGTCTTAGTCCAGGAAGAAGAAATGAACGTCAATTACTTACCTGCTGTCCCGGTTGCAAAGTGAATGCGAAGTCCTCTCCGGACCCGCTCTCGAGAGCTGCCAATATGGAGTCCGATGCAGCCGATAGAGGACGAGTGAAGGGCGAGAGAGGACGAAAGGAGAGAGAAGGATAAGATGAGAAGGAGTATAGGAAATGTAAAAGGAACTTACCCATGAAAAATTGCAAAATCACCACGAGCCAGGGAAGGGGGCGCCTCGATAGGCGATCGATTGGCACTGGACGATAGTGCGATCGATGGGCACACGACAATGGAAATTTCGGCCAAGGTGGAAATATCGCAAAAGAGCAGGTGGCAACGCCGCACCGTCGGTATCGATATGCGAATAAATATCGATCACGCACGAATGGTGTGACCAGGCGGAGGAAACATGGAAAGGAGTGAGACGCAGCAATGAGCAGCGAACTAGGGATCGATAGCCCAGGAGTATCGGTGTCCCAGTGGGAACACAGGAAATATCGGCGCGGGAGATTTAAAGTTGCTACGAGGGAGCATCGAGGGAGCAACGAGGGAGCGCCGCGGGAATCACAAGGACTCAAAGGCTAGGATAAGCAAGGAAACGCCGGAGAGAAGGAACCAGTCTTAAATGTTTCCCGAAGTAAGGGGGGAATGTGAGGAGTTGAATAACTCCCCACAAATAGAAGCAGCAGCAGATGGCCGGTTGCTTACCAGATACGCGGCGAATTCGCGTAGTAAAGGCGCGGCGAGGAGAACGAGAGAGTTTGGAGACCAAGGGTGGAGATCGAGAGAGTTTGGAGACCAACGAAGAAGAGCGAGAGAGTTTGGAGACCAATGAAGGAAAGCGAGAGAGATTGGAGACCAAGGATGGAGATCGAGAGAGGATGGAGACTTCGCGGGCAGAGCAAGAGTGCCGTATGCAAAAGGGGATAACGGAACTCCACCGGACTTTGGACTCTCCCGTGAACTTTGGACCGGGAGAGGAAGTGCCACATCTCGGCAGTGGAGCGGCACACAGGCGTGCCACAAGCGGCCCGGGAATCAGCGGGACTGCAGCAGTGGGCGGAGCATCGATTGAAAGCGGTACGTGAAGGAGAAGTGGGTCATCCAGGAGGCACGGACTTTGGACCCAGAGTGGAGAGATCCAGCGGGCCGTGCGCAAAAGGGAAATAACGGTGCTTGGAGGCCCTATATAAGGCCGCAGAGCGCTGGCAGCTGGATCAGTCGATCACGAGGAGTCAAACCTTCAAGATCAATTAAAGTACCAAATAAACAGTCAGTCAAGCAAATAATCTACGAGAGAGCTACAACCAAGCGAGTCGTCGGAAGCAGCGCCGTGGGAAGCATACAAGGAGCAAGATCGCCACGTCGAGACGTTCGGGATTAGGACATCAGGAATCTCCGAATTGAGACACAGGTGGCTGAGTTCTGGAAGGCATCACGCGGCTAAGTCAAGGCGTTTGTTTTCTAACTTTGTCACGACCACACCCTGGCGAGTCGCCCGGCGGGTCTGTCAGAGACAAGCAAAAGAGTCCTACGACGAAGAGCCGTCAGCTTGGGGAGGAAAGTTGTCTGCGACCCAGCGTACCTTGCCCGACCAAGCAGGACCTGGCGTGACGGACGAGCGGTAGATCGATTTGCGGTTTCAAGAGGCGGTAGCCTGGAGAGCCCTGCGATTACCGGCGAAGTTCCCGAGCAGCGACCGCCCAGCTCCCCGAGCGCCAGAACAACGAGATACTGGTCAGAAGACAGCGCAGAGGACATCGACAGCGACGCCAGCAGACATTTCCGGCAGCCACGTTACCATCGCCGCGCGGAGCTCATTGGGGAGCGCAGGAGCGTCGCGGACGTCACGCATTAGGGTGAAGCCGGGTGGAACGTTCGTCTGCGCTAGGCGTAAAGCGAAGTGAACCGCTAGACAGCCTCCTGGCGGCAGCCTTGACTGTCAGCGCGAACTGAGCAAGAACCTAGCGAGACCGTCCGGGACAGAGCAAGGGACAGGTATTGCCTCGAAAGGCGTCAGCCTGGAGAGCAAGGCTTGTTCACCCTAGTCTGAGAACGGTGACGCTTCCCTAAGCCCACAAGGCCGAACTCTCTGCGGGTCTAAGGCGCAACAAGCGACCCCGAGGCAACGCGTCGGCAAGCAAGCAGAGGCGGCCACTACGAGCGTCCCGAGACCCAGGATCCAGGGGAGGACGAGTCAACGTGTCGAGGAGCCAGAAAGAGGAGCGCCAGCAGCCGGCGGAACCAGAGCCAAGAGATACCGAAGCCAGCCCAGCCACACACCCGCTGTACTAATACCACGAGAATAAATCCCACTGTTATCATTTGATTCCTTTGTTTTCTCACTGATCTACGGGCAATCACGTCATATAAATTTGGTGGGACGAACGCACAATCTTCTGAGCTAGCCGCACGAATCTCGTAGCGAGCAGACACACAAAATCAGTTCGTTACACCTTGACTTAGGTCATTTCCTTTAAAGGCTTGAAAAGCAGGCCGATATCAACAAAATCTGCAAACTCAAAATGGCACCGTCGGGAAATTTCAAGAATATGGGCAATAAAATATTAAAATATTATTGGAAAAATATGTCAAAGGGCATAAAAAAGTACATAAAAAATGTACAAAATACAAAAATTCTAATACGTCTAAACATACCAAGACTCCATTAATTATAACTGAAACCCCACAAAGGGCTTTCGATAGGATATTTGTGGACACAATAGGTCCATACCTAGATTAGACGATGGAAACGAATATGCAGTTACATTAATCTGCGACTTAACAAAATATCTTGTCACTATACCTTTACCAAACCACAGTGCGAAAACGGTAGACAAAGCTATACTAGAACATTTTATTCTGAAGTACGGTCCAATGAAGACGTTCATTACGGACATGGGAAAAGAAAAAAAAAATTCGATAATAGAGGATTTATGTAAAAATTTAAAAACTGAAAGCTTAACTTCCACCGCACACCACCATCAGACAGTAGGAACCGTTGAAAGAAGTCATAGAACATTCAATGAATTCATCCGGTCCTACATATCACTCAACAAATCTGATAAGGATGCTTGGCTCCCATACTTCACTCACTGTTTTAACATACACGCTCTTTGGCAAATGATTATTGTCCATATGAGCTGGTATTTGGTAGAACAGCAAATTTGCCACTACAATTTAATAGCTAAGGTACTATATATCCGATATATAACTTAGATGATTATGCTAAAAAATCGAAGCTTAGAGTAGAACTAGCACATAAAAGAGCTAAAACTAGCAAAAGCTTGTAACGAACTGATTTTTTATTGTCTGCTCGCTACGAGATTCGTGCGGCTAGCTCAGTGTATTGTGTGTTCGTCCCGCCAAATTTATATGAACGTGACCGCCCAGTAGCTCAGTAAGAAAGCACAGAATTCACGGGTTCGTATTGGGTTTTATTGCGGGTATATTATTACAAGTGTCTTAGTCGCTTGGTTGGCTTTGACTCGTTGCTTGTGACCTTCGGTGCTTCCGACGGTCCTGGATGACTCTACGACCTCTCGCCTTGATGACTCGGTGCTCCAGTCCTGTAGCTCCCTGAAGATACTCGCAGCTCCCTGAAGATCCTCGCCGCTCCCTGAAGATCCTCGCAGCTCCCTGAAGATGCTCGCTCGCGGTTCACTTCTCACGCGTGACTTGGTGACTGCTGGTAACGACTCGGACTCGCGAGGGGTATCGGCCGTACGGGCTTAGGGAAGCGTCACCGTTCTCAGACTAGGGTGAACAGAAGTTGCGCTCTCCAGGATCGCTCCTTTCGACACACCGCCGCCTGTCCCTTGTTCTGTCCCGGATGGTCCCACTGGGGTTTCTGCTCAGCCCGCGCGGACAGTCAAGGCGGTAACGCCAGGAAGCTGCCTCGCGCCTTACTTCGCTTCCACGCCTAGTGTAAACGAACGTTCCACCCTAGCCTCACCCTTTTGCTTTTTGTCCGGGACGTTTCCGTGTGGCTTTTGGTACTCGGGGTTCGGGCACGCCGCTCCGGGACCTCGCAAGTCGAATCCGTAGGGCTCTCCTGGATAATTCCACTCGAGACCGTACCGATCGACCGCTCTCCCTTCTGGCTTGTTATATTCGTGGTTCGGGCACGCCGCTCCGGGACCTCGCAAGTCGAATCCGTAGGGCTCTCCTGGACAATTCCACTCGAGACCTTACTGATCGACCGCTCTCCCTTCTGGCTTGTTATACTCTTTCCAGGCGTAACGCCAGGACTTTGTGGACAGGGTTAATCGACCGCCTTGACCTAGCCGTGTGATGCCCTCTGGATCTCAGCTACCTGCGTCTCAATTCGGAGATTCCTGGTATCCCAATCCCGAACGTCTCGACGTAGCAATCTCGCTCCTTGTAGGCTCCCACGGCGCTGCTTCTCTGGCGACTCGACTTGCTGCTGCTCCCTTGTAGGTTATCTGGTTGTTTGATTGTTCACTTTGGTATCTGAGTGATCTTGACGGTTTGACTCCTTGTGATCGACTGATCCAGCTGCCAGCGCTCTGCGGCCTTATATAGGGCCTCCGGGAACCGTTATTTCCCTTTTGCGCACGGCCCGCTGGATCTCTCCACTTTGGTTCCAAAGTCCGTGCCTCCTGGATGACCCACTTGTCGTTCCCGTACCGTTTCCAATCGATGCTCCGCCCACTGCTGCCATCCCGCTGATTCCCGTGATGCTTGTG